AGACACCACACAACACCTACACAACACTTCTCACTGTTATATTTTATTTACAACTTATAGCTCATAACACAACCTACACACATACACACATTATCACTATTTTTTAAATTAAAACATAATTTGATTATTTACAAACGAACAAAAAATACATTTCACTAAGTGACGCTACTCTATGCATCAACCATTTTGTTGTGTTAATGCGCGTCAATCATCGAATTTACTAGAAACGTATTAGTCCGCATCAAAAAGTAGAAAACTCATAGCTTTATTAAATTCAAGATATTTAATAAATTCGTAAAGAAATCACAATATATATTATTATATATTATTAAATTTGTCTTAGAATACTTAGTTTTTCTTTCATACAACTAAATTTCGTATTGTAAACCGTTTGGAAAATAAGCTATTTAGACTCCTGTAATTTAAGAAAAAATTCCAAATTCACATTGTCAAAGATAAACCATATAAAGTATTATACATTGTTAGAATCGTCTCAAAATTTTTAATTTTCTTTCATATATCACAACTCCGTATTTCAAACGGTTTGGCCTATGGGCGAGTTGCAGTGCTAAACTTCAAGAAAAATTAAAAAATCTGAAAATAATTATATGAACACACATATTGAATTATATATCATTTTATTCGTAATTTTATTCCGCATCTTTCGTCTGAATAAACTTTTTACGTATCTTTTACATTTTAGCTTGTAGCATGGAATATGCGTGAATAATTACATGCTTAAATATTTCAATTCATATATCTGGCGTATATTGTTTTCGTTCCGCGTGGCCCGTTAGCTAAGCGCTAGCGATGCTGCTTCTAATCCTCGTAGTCTCAGGTTCGATCCCAGACAAGACTTTTGTTTTTTATTTAAATATAATAACAATAATTAAGATTTTTTTTAAATTTGGGCTAATTTGATTCAGAATGACAAAATTCGACAAAACATATATTAGCAATGTGGATTTTCCCAAGAAAACAAACCTCTACTACTAACGGGGAAACAATATTTATTAGTAACATTAGACAATATTTAATAGTCAATTATAAAAACATGTTGCATCAATATTTATTTTTATTTTGAGGACAATATTAGCTTATGATAAAAATTTTGTACCCGATGATAAAATTTTTTGCATAAATATTATTTTTCAATTTGACGATAATATTTTGTACCTGATGATAAAAAATGTTGCATCAATATTTCTATTTCAATTTGTGGACAATATTGTCAGCTGATGATAAAAAAATATTGCATCAATATTTATATTTCACTTTGAGAATAATATTTTTTAGCCTATGATAAAAATGTTGCATCAATATTCATATTTCACTTTGGGAACAATATTTGTAGCCGATGATAACAAAATATTGCATCAATATTTATATTTTAGTTGAGGACAATATTTATCAGCCCATGATAAAAAATATTGCATCAATATTTCTATTTTATTTTGAGGACAATATTTATCAGCCGATGATAAAAAATATTGCATCAATATTTCTATTTAGTTTGAGGACAATATTTATCAGTCGATGATAAAAAAATATTGCATCAATATTTACTCTTCTATTTGAGGACAATATTTATTAGCCGATGATAAAAAATATTGCATCAATATTTCTATTTTAGTTTGAGACCAATATTGGACAAGCCACATTTATAGAGATTATTGCCTCAATATCGGCTGACGTTGGCCTGATCGATTAGTTGACATCATCACAGAACCGACGTTCGCCGATATTTTTGCAATATAGGTAATCACGGCCACAGAAAACCGATATTGGTAATATATTGTACCGATATTAATTTCTACATGGGACGTCT